CATACATTCTGGCTGCCGCAAGCGGCGGATCATGCAGGCAGACCCTTGGGGTCCCAAACACGGTTACATCATCAGAGCATTCGTGAACTTCAAAAATCCACGAACTTACCGGTGGAAAGATATTCGCGTTCCTTTCGATGCTTTCTTCTTGCATAGCGCGCAGATGTACGGCCTCGCGTTAACGCTAAACTAAACCATATACCCGGCTTCGCCGGTGGGGCGCGGGTGGGCGCGGTTGAGGAATACGAAACTGCGCAACCACCAGATTTCCGAGATTTCGACAGACGGGAAGTTAATGCAGCGTAATGACTTTATTCTTTTTATAAGCGTTAGAATAGCTCAGAATTTAGTTTACAACGTTAAATTATCACTGTTTATATTGGTGAGAGTTTTCACTCTTCGCGTTTACCATGGCAACGTTGCTTTCTTTCTCTCGTGTTCTGTCGCTCTCATTTGCGATCGTTCACTCGGGACCCCGGGTGTCGGCGCACGGGATTTGCCACTCCTCCTCACCCACCTTTACCCCCCTGATAAAAATTTACACTTCCTACAAAAAACACGCCAAAAAAAACAAGAAAACTAGAAACGAGCGTGCCGACAGCTAGCGTCGTCACGGCCTCCACAGGGCGAGCGGGGCGAGTCGGGGAAAAATTCTCTCCTCGCCGTGACGTCACCCCGGTTCGCCGTAAGGGGGCGCCACGCGAACTTCTTGAGGCTGCTGCGCCGGCCTGGAGGAACTATCAGGCCATGTTCCAAAATTTACTCGATCTTACTTAGGGGTGTCGCGAACTTTTGTCGAACCGGATTTTTAGGTCGAACTTTCGGGGTTCGACTGGGGCGAACCGGTTCGACGAACCTTCGAAACTTTTCACCAGATTCGACCGGTTCGACTTTGCGGACAGTGTGGCCAGACCTTGATAGATGCATGTCTAGGTTTGGAGAATTTATTTTTATGCAAATGGTTATTTTATTTTATGAACAGTTGGAATTAAAAGAAACCACTTCTATTCACTAAAGACTTTAATAACTTAATTTTTTTTGTACTGTAATAACTGAAATAACCAACCAGCGGTGCCCTTAATTCATCCATTAGCCATTACCATCCAATCCGAAGCCAACTGGCCAGCCTGTTGCGCATGCGCACACGAGTAGAACCTCAATACAAGTATGGTGTAATACAAGGTTCGTCGAAATTTCCACGAAAAGTTCGAAAAATCGAACCAGGTCGAACTCGAACCTCGGCCGGTTCGCGACACCCCTAATCTTACTTCAAGGTACCTTGGCGTTCCAAAACCTACCCGCGTCCAGCGTTCTTCAATCTGTGTTGTCACGTGACACGACCCGCCGGAGTAACTCGGGTTCATTTGGGTAAGATTTGGAACACAGCCCCAGTTGCATGGTTTCCGCCTGTGTGACACAACACATACCTGCACTTGCAACGGGCGCTGCACGAGATGAGGGCCTTCAAGTCGCGACGATTGGCAAGCTTGGCCGGTTGGCCGCGATCTGTGGTTACGATGCTGCGTACGATATGCTGGAACAGCTTCGCAGGCGCTCGGAAGGCAGACTCGCGACGACAAGGCATCAAAGAGAATGCTGGCAATGTAGGTCTACACGCCGCACGCGCTAACATTTCTCGTATTCAAAGAAAAAAAAAAAAAATGATAACGAGGCGAGCTTGTACAAGATGCCTTTTGTTTTAGGTCTTACGCCAGCACGTGCGCTACATTCTCAGCATTCTCGTGGGTACTGCATATACGTTTTGCTAAATTGCACGAGTATGCTACAAGCGAAGTTACACGCATTGCTCGTGCTCGCGTTTGCAGTACAGAGTAACCAACGAGCTTGAGTCTTACCTTAGAGCGGTAAACCGGAACCCACTGCCTGCAGCGGAAATGGCACCCCCCCGGTTGCCGCCATCTCGCCTGTTTGCCACATTAGTGATCACGTGACGTTAAGATGGCTGCGCCCAACGGTGGGGCAGATCAGATTGGTCAGATCGCGGTCAGCAGATGGGTACTCTGGGGCTGCGTTCGAATCTTACTCGAATGGCGCCGAGTTATTCCGGCGGATCAAGTCACGTGACAAGACAGAGGCAGCAACGCTGGACGCGGCTAGGTTTTCGAAAGCAACGGGTGCGAGAACTTTACCCAGGAATGGCATAGAAGCTGCGTTCGATTTACTTGCAGCTCCTGCACCGGTGCAGAAAAGTGTGGGGCGTTGTACTTCCGGTCGTATCTCAATACATATACCGGAAGTAGACTGCCCTACATTTTTCTGCACCGGCGCAGGAGGTGCAAGTAAATCGAACGCAGCTTTTATCTCACTCTTGGGTGAAGTTCTTGTACCCGTTGCGTTCGAAAACCTACCCGCGTCCAGCGTTGCTGCATCTGTCTCGTCACGTGACTTGATCCGCCGGAGTAACTCGGCGCCATTCGAGTAAGATTCGAACGCAGCCCCAGAGTGCCCATCTGCTGACCGCGATCTGACCAGTCTGATCTGCCCCACCTTCGGGCGCAGCCATCTTGACGTCACGTGATCACTAATGTGGCAAACAGGCAAGATGGCGGCAACCGGGGGGGTGCCATTTTTGACCGCTGGTTTACCGCTCTAAGTTTACTCAAGCTCGTTGAGAGTAACCAGTAACTGTACCAAAGCAAAAGGAAAAAAAGTTAAAACAAATTTCACATTTTTTCCGAGATTGATGGATGGATAGATGAACCCAGCTGAGCCCTTTGGATCGGGCGGTAGCTTACGCCACCTACTAATTGCTAATAAGTTCCGGTGCTTACACAGTCTCTTACCTTTTAATCTGCGCTTTAAGTGGATGATCTCGCGTGTGACCCAAGGATTTGTCTTATTAATCTTTTTTATTCTCTGAAGAACATACGCTGTTAGACAGTAGTTTACTGCTTCCTTAAAGTGATTCCAGAGGCTTTCAACGTTAGCGTCCTGGCGAAAAGAGTCGAGACAGTTGTGTCCTCAGCTTTTTCAAAGTTGTAAACGAGTGCCGTATTTTTTTTTCTGTTTTTGAGGGGGGCTATTTTGTGTTACCGTTACACGCACCAGCTTATGATCTGAAATCCTGTCTACAACAGACACCTCGTACTCACGAAAGCACGTCGAAAGAAAGCAGAGATCTAAAATGGAATTTCGAGGCCCACACGTTCTTGTGGGTTCCCAGACTATTTGACCGAGGCCGTGTTTTAACAATATTTCTAACATGTAATCATCTTGTTTCCCACCTGACTTCGACAATTTTTTCATTCCAATTATCAGGGGGAAATTAAAATCTCCAAGAACTATTAATTTAGTGCGTTCATTAGCATGGAGTGTAAAAAAATCATCAATTTTTTCAATAAAACTGATGCCCGATCCAAAGGGCTCAGCCGTATTCATCCATCCATCCATCCATCCATCCTCTGACTAGGGGTGTCGCGAACTTTTGTCAAACCAGATGTTTTGGTCGAACTTTCGGGGTTCGACTCGGTCGAACCGGCTCGACGACCTTCGAACTTTTCACCAGATTCGACCGGTTCGACTTTGTGCACAATGTGGCCAGACCTTGATACAAGTATGTCTAGGTTTGGAAAATTGTTTTTTATGCAAAGAGTTATTTTATATTGCAAACAGCTGCAATTAACAGAAACTAATTCTAATCAATGACGAAGTTAAAAACTTAATTTTTAGTACTGTATTAACTAAAATAGCCAATCAGCGCTGCACTTCATTTATCTCTTAGCCATTATCATCCAATCCGAAGCCAACTGACCAGCCTGTCGCGCATGCGCACACGAGTCGAACCTCAATAGAAGGTTCGTCGACTTTCCACTAAAAGTTCGAAAAAGTCGAACCTGGTCGACCTCGAACCGCGGCCGGTTCGCGACACCCCTAGCTCTGACCAGTTCGAGCCTCACTTCCTTTGCAGTGCGGAGTGTAGTAAAGTGGTTAGTTGGGCGAGTTGGTAATGATTGAACATGGTTAAAATTGCGCACAAATAGAAAGGTACAGAGAAGAGGGAAGAGAGAAGAGACAAGCGCAAACTCACAACTCGATGTATTGATGGAAGAAAAAAGAACAGCCCTCGGTATCAGCTCGAGCCGAGGCCACACTCGCACGGGGGCACCCGAGCACGCGGAGGACACACACCATCAACCACACTCGAACGACTGTAGAAAGGCTATTTCATTGTCGGTTAAAGCCACAGAAGGATAGCTGACACAACGCTCGCCTACAGGGGGTAAAGGTGGGTGAGGAGGAGTGGCAAATCCCGTGCGCCGACATCCTGGGTCCCGAGTGAACGAACGCAAAAGAGAGCGACAGAACACGAGAGAAAGAAAGCAACGTTGCCCAGTGTTGCCAGATTGGGCTATATATAGCCAAATTGGGCTACATTTTTTTTTAATTGGCGTCAAAATTTCGTGTTTGGCTATGTGGCTATTTTTGGGCTATTCCTAAGGGTGCGGCGAACTCTTCTCGAACCTCAGGTTCGACGTCGAACTTTGAGGTTCGACTAGTTAATTTTCGAACTTCTAATCAGTTTCGAGAACAAAATTGTTTCTCTTTTGGCTAGTCGAGAGGAGAGAGAGGAAGGAGAATGGCTTCAAACTTCTACAAACTTCGGGGTTTTCACGATGCGCAGAGAAGCAGTGCTAGCAGAGTTCAAGCGGTCTCCCCACAGCGCAAAGGAACAAATCAAACAAACATATTGCACTATTACCACAGGCCCGGTAGCGCGTCTTTTACCCGGACTTAGACTGAACTCTCCAAGCGCAGCTTTGGTGGTCATTGTAAAAATTCTTAGGCATCGCCCACTTTAAGGCCTGTTCACACATGCAGCGGAGCGCTACAAGCGTAGCGCTGACCTCGCGCTAAGCGCATGCTGACGGAAGCGTTCACCCGCTTTGTATCGCACCGTCAAAACTGTTGCTCATGGCAGTCGATAAGTAGCTGAAGACATGTGAGCAGCGCTACATCAGCGCTTCGCTGCATGTGAGAACCGGCCTCTGTAGTATCGTTCAACGTGTAGCATCTTTTCGTCTGCAACCCCGGACCGGTCGTCTCTGGCCGGGGTTGCTTCAGGTGCGTCATGCACCCAGCGTCCCCGCCCCAGCCAACGAAGGCTTTGACCTTCGATGTCTCCTGTCCGCCGGGCGCGTCTGTGGATTCTATCTTCGACGCGGCCACGGGCATTGTCGGCACCGCCGAATTGTTTTCTGTGCAACACCTGGGAGCAACCAACTTCCAATTGTCCGTCACCTCGTCGTCGGCCATGAGCCGCATCGTAAACGCCGGCGCCCTGAGCATCGGTGGAACCCTCGTTCCAATCGTCCCCGTCGGACCGCAAGTAACAGCCATTACATGCCTCTTCTTGCCGGTCTACGTCAAGAGCGAAGCGCTCGCCGCTGCCCTTGCACCTTACGGGAAGGTCCTGGACATCCGTTTTGGAGTGTATCAAGACCACCCGACCCTGCGGACGGGCACGCGCTACATTCGCATGGAGATGAAAGAGGCGACGCCTGTCCCGAACTTCCTCCGCGTCTCCGGGCATCGGGCAACTTTTGACTACCGCGGCCTCCGACGCGTATGCCGACGGTGCCAGCGAGAGGGCCACATCAAGGCGGCTTGCAATGTGCCCTACTGCACCCGCTGCGGCGCTTTCGGCCACGACTCAGCCGGATGCGCGGCTGGTTGTGGACGTTGCGGGGCGGCCCACGCGACGGTGGACTGCACCCAACGTCGCACCTACTCCTCCGTGGCCGGCCAGAGCCCGGACGAGTTCCCGGCCCTGACATCGACCCCTCGGGATGGACCCCCTGCCACCCCCGCACCTGCAGCGTCGAACGCACCCGACCCGACACCCGCCGTCGGCCCCACCGAGTCTACCGTGCCCTCCCCGTCCGAGCCCACCGAGACAACCTCGCCTGAGCTTGATGCGGCAACACCGCAACCCACGCCGGCTACCTCCATGGCCACAGGTGAAGATTCGAACGCGCCAGTAGCCATACTTTCGAACGCGCCGGCAACCACATTTCTGAGCGACGCTAAGCCTAGCGTTCCACTCCCCTCGAGCGCCAGCTCCGATGAAGAGCCGATACAACTTAAGTCCCCGACTGCGCCGGAATTTCAGTCCAGTCCGAGCCTCAACTGGGGCGACCTCACGGAGGGCTCGGACGAGGAACGCCTCGTCATCCACGAGATCGCCGGGGATGCCGCCGGGGACGCCGCCGGGGACGCCGCGAAAGGAGTGGAAACCCGCTCAAGACCGCGTTACCGAGAACGCCGCCGCAACGCAAGCCTGGAACCGCGGAGACTTCGCAGCCGCAGTCGCAGCCGACACGGTGGTGCTGAGGAAGGGAAGCGTGTTCTTTCCAGCAGCGACGAGTTCGCGACCCCGCAAGGCATCCCGGCCGCAGCAGCTCGCCTCAAGCGCTCGCGGAACGACTCCCCTTCGCCCACTGGAAGCCCCAGCAGCCAACCATCGTCCGGAACACCCTCGGATTAACGAAGTGCCGGCGATTCATTTTCCTCCTCTTCGCACGGCTACGGGTCCTCACCCTTATGGCGCACCGTGAATTCACGAGGGCGCCCATCAAACCATTCGGCCAATCTTGGCCGCGACACGATCACATGGTCGTGTTGCCGCGGGGTCGATCGGGATCTCGAATTCGGCTCCCGACGCGCGGCTTTCTCTCCTAGCCACTGGAGGGCGCTGCAGGCGCCCCCGTGGCAGGCGAGGAGAAACCTCCTCGCCCATCGAGAGATATACTCGGTGGGGCAGGGGGCGAGAGGCCTCTAGGAACTCCGGACGAGACCGAGACGCAGGCAGGCAAGTGGGTGGCGACCGGATCTAGGATATCGCGGGACGCGAGGCCTAAGGCCTTCTTTGTGTTTAGCGTTGGGCTTAACGCGCGGTTGTAAATATTTGTATAATGTAACTTGTATTTGTATTTTAGATTCAGTGTTTTGTAGCGTTGTGTGTTTTTGTACCAATAAACTGGGAGCGGAATCCCGCTCCCGTGAAAGAACCAGGCTGGACTCGGGTTGTTGACGGACCACGTGGGAAACAGCGAATCGGCGGCGGTACGCGAATTCCTACAAATGGCGCATCAACGTTGGGGCAGGCGAGCCGTAATTACGGTCGCAACGTCCGTCGACGACACTGCGTGAAAGTTCACGCGGGGCGGTCCCCCTGGTTGGCGGGTCTATACCGCGGCACTTTGAAGTTGGAAAAGGCACGTCCAAACAAGTGTTCGGGATGGCCGCGGGTAATTTCGCGCTAACAGATTTGATGTTTTTGGCTGACGTCGCGACGACACAAGCGGAAAAAGAGCGACGGCTCTCGGGGTTGGCGGAGGGGAACGCCGCGGAGATGACCGTAGTGCGGAGTCCGGAAACGCCGGCGGTATCGCCAGTAGTGTCTATGCCGCAAAGCACGGAGGTGTCCCGTGAATCCACGGCGTTGGTTGCGGCGTTCGCTCAGGCCTTACAGAGCATGCAGAGGCAAACGCCACCGCCGAAAACCCTCATCCGCATTCCGGTGCCGGAGTACAGCGGACACAGCGATCGAGCTCTGAGCGCGACCGACTTCTTGCTGGAAATCCAGCGATATCGGAAGGCTACCGGCCTGACCGAGGAGGAGACGCTAGGCAGGGTTCTGCCGGTGGCTCTTGTAGGCCCAGCAGCCAGGTGGCATCGCCTTGTGGGCGAGTCAGCCGGAACACTCGACGAGTTCACGGCCCTCTTCCGGCAAGAGTTCTTGCCGGCAGACTACCTGCCAAGAATGCGCAGGGAACTGGAGGAAAGAACGCAGGCTCCCGCTGAGCCCTTTGCTGAGTACCTGCGGGCAATGCAGGAACTCCTGCAGATCGCCGATCCGAATGCTACGAACCAGGAGCAGGTCGAGCGGGTGGTGAGGCAGGCGCATCCCACCTTTTCGCGGTATCTGCGTGGGCGCCCATTCGGAAGTCTGAGTGAGCTCGCACAGGAGGCACGCAAGGTTCAGGCCGACATACTGGCGGAGCGCAGGTACCACCTTCCCCCAGCACCAATCGACACGCTCGAACCCCGATGCGCGTGGCACGGGCCGGTGCCACGTGGGTGTCGACGGGGGGAAGCCGCAATGGCGGCGGCCAGCGGGGAGCCGAGCGGGAATCCCTGGGAGCTCACAGATGACGCCTTGGAGCCAGGATCACGCCGAGGAGGGAGCGCGGCCGTCCACGCGGCGGAATTCCGGCCGACCGGCGCACCACGGATCGCCGCAGCCCAGGAGCAGTCTGCCGCCGACCCGCTGCCACAAAGGGGTGAGCGCATCGCACGTCCCACTGGGGAGAGTCCTATCCCAGGTTGGCGAGGCCGCTGCTTTCGGTGCCACGAAATCGGGCACTATAGGCGCGACTGCACAAGGGAGATACCGGGAAACGGAGGAGGCCGCCGATAAAGTTATCGGCGGCGAAACAACAGACCAACGAGCGGGTCCCCGACACCCCATCGACTGTATGCGTGCCGACGGCGTATCGAGTCGGAACAGTGACAAGCACCGCGGCCCCATTTATTTCCCTGACGGTGGCGGGAAAGGAGTTCGCAGCTCTTCTGGATAGCGGGGCTAGTGCGTCGCTAATTGGGGACGAGGTCCTCAGGCATCTCCAACAGAAGTCCGTTCGGGTGAGGCATGGGGAGACCACTTTCCAGTTGGCTTGTGGGTCGACGACCTCGAGGGGAGCAGTGCGTCTCGTGGTACGTTGGAATCAACGGGCGCAGAGACAGCGGTTCGTCCATTTGGCCGGGCTGACAGTACCCATCATTCTGGGACGGGATTTCCTGGCCCACACCGGCATCATCATTGACGTGGCAAGTGGCGGGTACCGAGAGGGGGCACATGCACCCCTTTCAAGTTTCCGAGAGCACTCTATGGGGGCCATGGCGGCAGCGCTGGGAAAAGCGACAGAACAGGAAAGAACCGACCGCGACGACGCCATGAGTCACCCAACTCCGAGCTCCGCTGAGCACTGCGACGGAATGGGCCACCCGTTGGCCAATGCCGATGGACTGTCTCGACCAGAGCGAGAGAGGTTGGCGGCTTTGCTGCACAACTTTGACGAAATGTTCACCGAACAGCCGGGCTGCACTAAGCAGGTGCAACATCGCATTGAAACTGGGGACGCACGCCCTTGGAAGTCCAATCCGCGTCCTGTGAGGCTGGCGAAGCGAAAAGCGATAGATGCCGCAGTCGATGAGCTCCTGAAGTCGGGAATCATTCGCCGGTCATCAGGACCCTGGGGATTCCCGGTGGTTTTGGTGCCCAAGAAGAACGGAACATCGAGACTCTGCGTCGATTATCGGCGCTTGAACGCGGTGACCGTAAAAGATGCGTATCCATTTCCGAGCATCGAAGAAATCATCTCGAATCTGGGGAAGGCGAAGTATTTCACTACCCTCGACGCAAGCAAAGGCTACCTCCAAGTGGAGATGAGCCCGGGCGACGAAAGCAAAACTGCATTCGTGTGTCACCGAGGCTTGTTCGAGTTCACTCGGATGCCGTTCGGATTAACAGGTGCACCGATGACATTTCAGCGGTTGATCGACGGGGTGCTCGGAGATGCCAAGTGGCAGCACGCGCTCGCGTACCTGGACGACATCATTGTGTACTCGGAAACTTTCGAGGACCACCTTCGTCACCTCGAGGACGTGTTGCGCAAACTGCGGATCGCCGGCCTCACACTTAACCCGACTAAAGCCCAAATTGGAGCTTCCGAGATCAGCTTGTTGGGATTCCGGATCGAGAGAGGAAAAGTTTCCCCCGACGCGGACAAGTTGCGGGCGATCTTGGAGTTCCCAGTCCCTACCGATGTCGGGGGAGTGCGCCGTTTTCTCGGCATGATAGGATACTACCGAGCCTACATCCCGAACTGCGCAGCCATGCAGGCACCCCTCACGCAATTGCTGAGGAAAGCGGCTCCCTGGAGCTGGGAGGCGGCGCAGGAGGAGGCGTTCCTCCAGCTGACCGAGGCCTTGGCGCGTACAGCATCCCTC